CCCCCCCCCCCGCGCCTCCCCCCCCCCCCCGCCCCGCCGGTCCTCCGCCCGGCCCCCTCGTGGGGGGCCTGCAGGCGCCGCGCAAGGCCCCTGGAAACAGCCGCTGTCCCTACTGCTGCCATTGTTCTCCTTTTAGACATGGCTGATGGATACAGCTGGGAGATGCAGGGGGCCCTCCCGGAGTCTCCAGGACCCCCACGTGGGGCCTGAGCCCATGACCGTCCTCCCATCGAGGGTGGCAACAGGGGGCTCCGTGCGTGGAGGGCAGGGTCAGGGTGAGTGGTGGGTCCTCCTTTCCCTGTCTGAGCTGCTGGGAGTCCTGCGTGCAGCGCCCAAGGGTCGAATCTGGGCCTTAACCCTTGGGGACCAAGGCGTCTAACAGCCTGTTGAGCCCATGGTAACAGGCACGGACCAGGCCACGTTTCCTACCTTTCTGAACAGTTGCAGATCACAAACAACTGACGGTTCCCATTCCTAAACCCCTGGGACAGGAGGCAGGGTTGCAAAACCAGGAAAGGGCACCTCCCACGGGCAGTGGCATTGTGGAGTCAAGGAGGCTCGGTCGCAGACTCAGAGAGCCAGATACCAGACACTGAGATCAGACGGAACATAGGCTGCCGCCCCATCCAGCTGTTCTGGGCCACCCCTGAGCCACGATGCGTACACATCTGGCTTTTCTGCCCGGAGATGGGCGACCAGAGCAGAAGTGGGCAGAGTGGGCGTGCGGAAGGCGGGGCTGGGTCTCGCTAACCTCTCAGCCTCTGCAGGCGGGATGTGAGTCCTCACGAAAGGCTCTTGGACAAGGGACACAGCAGAGCCATGGTCCTCCTCTACAGCACACCTCACATTCCTTGGAGGTTTCCCCCTGGAAGCGGAGATAATGCAGCAGGGATGGCATCAGTGAGACCCACAGCACACCGACACCGAGGGGCCTTGGAACACGCCGTCCTTGTGTGTTCCAGAGTGGATGTCTCCAGCTGACCACGGTGCTCCGAGAGAGCGCCGATGGAGCACCAGCCTGGCCTTTCCGATCGATCGATCGCAGAAAAGCAGACGGCAAGAATCCTCAAGTTGCCCCTTGAACCGCACATTGTCAGAGCCGGAAGGGACTGGAAAGTCATTCAAGCCCTTTCTGCACAGAGTGTGGTCTGAGGACCAAGGGCATCACCGTTACCTGGGAGGCGGTGAGAGAGGCAGACCCGCTGAATTGGAATCTGTTTTAACAGGACCCCAGGCGCTTTGGAAGTACATGACATTTGAGGAAACACAGCTTTAGGCAACTTCCTCTTTTTACAAGCCTGGGAAGACAAGATGCTTTTTTTTTTTTTTTTTTTCTGCGAAGTCAACACAACTTAGCATTTGGGCCGCCCGTGCCGGGGTTCAGAGCTGTTCCCGTCCACCGTGTGCTGTCCTAGGCAAGCGTGCTGGGCAGACCCAGAACAGTTCCTGATGGAAACACAAAGACAGATCGCTGCTGTACAAATGGGTTGTTTTGTGGGCCTCAGAAATCACTATCTTTCTCATGGCCTTAGAATGTGATCCAGTAAATTCTCCAGGTGATCTTTACTGCTGGATAAAGACCTACAGGCAGGAGCCCCTGTTCTCCTGACCCCGCAAGATGGACAGTAGGGCCTTACACACAAGGAGAATGTTTTCTCTGCACTGAAGGTAGGCGTCAGGAAGAGGCACCTTTCTGTCTGTGCCTCTGGGAGGTGAAAAGGCAGGAAATAGACCATTAGGAGCTGGAGCAGAGGATCGAGGAGGCTGGGGATCAGTTACAGCTAAGGAGAGAAATCCTGCCACTACCCTCAACTGTCCACAACACAAGCACAAGGACCTGGGTGAGGGCGGGAGGGATGGAGATGGAAATGTCTTGTCCATTCTCAAAACTAGCCACTCAGTCAGAGTAAAAATTCCCTTTGATTTGGGGATGAAATTCATCACGGTCTTAGCTGGGGAGGCTTCCGGAGCAAATTCTTCTACTTCGGAGGGCCCCAGGACTCCATAAAGAGAGCTCCCTGCCAACCTTGAAGTTCAGGTGAACTTTCTGCCCTTCCCATCCTGAACTCACCAGTCTGCCTTTCTTTGTCCCTGGAGTGCCCTCTGATTGGACACCCGACCTGCCTAGGCCCGGGATGCAGATGCCAGCTTCCCACAGCCCAGACCTCCCCCCTCCTCCCAGTTGAGACCTTGGTTGGATCCAGAGCCCCAGTCCCTCTGTGGTGTGAGTCCTGACAGCTTTTTTCTTTTCTCCTTTTTTTGTAATGCAAGTACCTGACTGAAGCCTGGATTGTTCTAGCACCCCATCAAAGACAGCTATCTCCTTATTTCTGGAGTAAATGCATTGCCAGCCACACAACTAGATAAAGAGCCAGGCTGCCTGTCCCCACAGAGGCTCCTTTGTGTTAGAGATCTTGGTTGATTTCAAGAACTGACCATTTGGATTGCTTGGGTTTTTTTTTTTTTCTTTCTCTTCTCACACTTTAAATTCCAGCTGTTATGTTTTAAATTCACCAATAAAGAGTGAGCCTGCAAAGCCCTAGGCCCCCACCTTCGCCTGTGCTCTTTCTCTCTCTCTCTCTCTCCTTCTATCTCTCTCTCTCTCCATCAATCGCTTGGCCACCTCACTGTATGGCCCCAGGTGTGCTCTGTAATTTCCATGTCCTGTAAGTAATAAAAAGTAATAAAATTTTTTTTTTTTCAGTTTCCTGATGGTTATTGCTGGAAGGCACCTTGCGATTATATTAAGAACCACAACGGCCCGTCTAACCACATTGGTTATGGATAGTCTGTGGCCAGCACAAAACACCCCCTTCCCTAGGCTCTGGAGGAGGATAGTTTCCAACACACATGATATGACAGCGAACGAGAGAAAGGACGTACAACTGCACGGTCACCTTCTGACTCTGGCTTTTCTGCTCCACTGCTGACAGCTTCAAGTCCCACCCCTCTCTCTTACCCCTTTCACCACCTCTGGGCAAGTCGGCAAGTCGATAAGGAAGCTGATGCGCTCCCTCTCCTGGCCTCAGAGAGAAGTTCAAACCAGACAAGCTCTGCCCCAGCAAGGGAATTCTCACCTTGGCCCCACTCATAGCCATGGTAAAACCTGGAGCTATTCCCTCTCGCCACTCAGGCATTTTCAGACCAGCTTGGCAATCTGCCCGGCCCTCCGTAGGAAGCCTCAGTATGTGAGTGATAAATCATTTCATACTCGCTAGGTATGAAATGTGTGAGTGTTGCATCATCACTTTCGATATCTGAACCCAGTTGATCCCACCTCGCTGCACGTAACCACAAGACATCGGCTCAACAGGCAGGGAGTCTTGGTGACCAGGGGTCTGTCTTCTCTTGCTCTGGTTGGCTAACTGGTTCTTCTTCTTTTTTTTTTTTTTTAATAATTTTTTTTTTTAACGTTTATTTATTTTTGAGACAGAGAGAGACAGAGCATGAACGGGGGAGGGTCAGAGAGACAGGGAGACACAGAATCTGAAACAGGCTCCAGCTCTGAGCTGTCAGCACAGAGCCCGACACGGGGCTCGAACTCACGGACCGCGAGATCATGACCTGAGCCGAGGTTGGCCGCCTAACCGACTGAGCCACCCAGGCGCCCCGCTAACTGGTTCTTCTAACTGGCTTACTCTTTGAGTTGTGTTGGGTCTGCTGGGCCATGGCCCTGAGGTTGCAGTCATCTACCATGAGGGACCGCTCATTCTTTTTAAGTTCAAGAACAGATCAAACTGGGCAAATAGTGGAAGAGTAGAAATAATCACTCCTGCATCTCGTATGATAAGTTTTGATCCTTGAAATTTATACTGGATTCCATTCACTGTCTTAACAGAGGGGAACGATCTGTGGGCTCCGTTTTGTAAGGCTGATTGTTAAGTGTCAAAAGCTTAATTTTATCTTACCTCGTTAGTCGTCGGGTAAGAGCATGCACGTTCACTACAGGATATATCAGGGCAGTGGGTATTATGACCAGGAGGCAGCAATTTTGATGGTTAAAGGGAGGTGTGAGGTGTGACTGTTTTCCCTCTAGTTTACCTTTGGAAACTCCCTACGAGGGTAGAGGGTAACTTGCTTAAATTCAGTGGGATATAATTACTCAAAAGGAGCTCCACCCATTAAGTTCCCTACACACAATATTATTGAAATGACTGGGACCGTCCACCTGGCAAGTGTTTTGCTGTCCCATATTTGGCCAGTAAGTTCTGTTCTGTGCCTATTCCAACAGCATCTCAGCTGCCTTGCAGCTGTGGGGATACAGCCTTCCTTGCTCCCTGCAGTGTCTCAACAGCTTTATCATCACACACACCCTCTGCAGGCGAGATCTTAACTGCATCCGACTTGCCCCAGGAGCGCAAGTCTGACACTACCCCGATGGCATCCTTCTCATTTGACACACTCATTCAGAACATACAAGGACTCACAAAGGAGCTCCCAGAGAGGGATAGGCCATTGTGCACACATAGCACAGGGCCCCATCAGCTCAGCAAATTTCTGGGCACCATTTGATCATTTGAAGGCTGTTCTGTCCCTGACACAGTCAAGAAACGATTATTGACCCTCTCAATGCCCGCAACTCTTGCCCAACATCTTTTAGGCCTTTGGATTCAAGGTAACACATTCCTCATTTACAGATTTTACGTGTGCCCATTTAGGCTTACTTGCAAATTGACCCACTTTGAATGAGAATCCCTTAAGTCAAAGGCTCTAGAATCTATCCAAAATAAAGCAAACAGCTGTTCTCAGTTCCCACCGTATGCCGTTAGAGTAACAACTTCTGTCTGCATCCTGAGCCCTTCTAGAGATGGAGGTCCTCACAAGCACTCAGCCTGTGCTCATTTTGCCTTGGGTCATGGAAGCAACGTCCTGCAGGGAAACCCCAAAACACACGTTTGGAGTATCGGCATCAGGCCTCTTGATGGTACACACATACAAAGATGGACACCAACAGAGAACGGGTGTATGGCAGAGTAACAGTGATGTATGAGACAACGTTGCTGAAGAAAGGGCCTGCGTTAGCCCATTTGTAGTCAGAACGAAACTTAGTCTCGTTACCCCAACGAGGTCCTAGGTCCTAGGTGGGACTGAAAGGTCAGGCCAAGTGTGCTTCTGGCTATAATGTACAGACATGTGGTATCATGAGTGAGCAGCAACTAGAATATTGGGGCCATTAATTAAAGCTCTGGATTAAAAATGTCTTTATTGGTCTTTTTTGGTTTTTTTTTTTTTTTTTTTTTTTTTTTTTGCTGTTTACAAAAGTAATAAATGGTCATTAGGAAAATTCTACCTGTACATAAATGTATAATATGGAAGGCAAATATTCCCTATAATCCTATCCCCAAATAACCAATTCACTCAGATATTTGCAATCATAGACCTCCATAGTCACGTAAACAAAACTGGGCTCCTTCCATATATATTACTACCAGTTTAAGCGTCCAGAAGCTTTCTGGACTTTAGAACCCTTGGGTGGTTTTCCATTGACTGAAGGGCATTCCCTGCCCCCTCCACCCAGTCAAGGCCGCCTCCAGATCCAGCTTATCTGGACCCCTGGGTGACGCATTTCCAGACCATCCTGTCCATGGGCAGGATTCTTCGCTAATTTTTGGCTATTACAAGGAGCCTCCCTGTACATATCAAGATATTGCAAAGCAGCATGGAAAAGATGTTTCATACAATAAACAGCATTGGGAGGACACCTTGTCTTTTCAATGAATCCAGCTAAGGGTCAGGCCAGCCCTTCAGGGCACGGTGGGAAAGGCACCATTGCCTCTGCTGAAGGTTCGTATCTTATGGGAAGTTCATGGGTGAGATTTGTGTCTTGAGGACATATTTAAGCAAGCAAAGAAGGATGAGAAGGAGCAGCTGGTACAGACAATGGATGCGCGCCCTTTTCACCTGGAGGGACGCTATGCAGAGGCAAAGCTCAATTCAAATGCGATTCCATTTTGGGGCCACTGATAACGAGCACGTTGAATTGAGGAATTCTTTGTGTTCAATCAAGGATGGTCTCCTTGCTCTTTTCACATACCGTTTTTGTCTATCTCCGTACCACATTTACTTCTCAAACTAGAGCATTCTATTTCTGACACCTTTGGTTTGTCATCATCCAAACACCCGGTTCTTTTTCTAAAACACACGTACATCATCAGTTTTTGTTCTAATCTTTATTTTAAAGAGTTTTTGTGTCCCCCTCCCAAATTATGAAAACAACAGGGGTACATACATGTACCGGCGTGCCAATGCCATTGTCGTGAAGATGCAATGACTAAAAGGTGACCCAGGTGACCCAGGGCCGGGGACCTTGAGGACTCGAAGGTGAGCCTTTGGATGCAGAGAGTGTGCAACATGGCGACTGAAAATGTGGTAGAAATTCACCTGCTATTTACCTTTCTCTTGACATTTATTCTTGGGGGACAGAACAAAAGTCCTTTCTGAAAGAGAGAAGGGGTCAATGAACGAGGTTATCCGGGAAGCTCTTCTTTCGTCCATATCGAAGTTCCCACTTCCTAGTGAATATTTATACCTGGACGTCCTACCGGGTCTCAAACCCAAGGTGGCTGAAAGCAACACCATTAGCTCCAACCTCCTCCAATCGGCTCTTCTTCTGAACGTCACTTGATAAACTCATTTTTTTCCTGTTACTCAAACCCAAGACCCATTAGTCCTTCCTTCCCAGTTCCTTTCCCACCCACATTCTCCTCTCCCTTTCTTCCTTGGTAGGTAAAATCCTTGTGATTTCATCCCAGTGATATTCTTTTTGGGTGTTTTTTGAGGCCTTGTGTTGGGGTCTGGGATCACAGAGATTAGTAGCCTTGTTTGTGGCTCAGAGGATTGAGTGTGAGCCAGGGAAGTGCAGAGGAGACACTGCCCATGGACAGGATGGTCTAGAAACGCGTCACCCAGGGGTCCAGATAAGCTGGGTCTGGAGGAGGCCTTTACTGGGCGGAGGGCGCAGGGAAGCTCTCAGAGATCTGGGTCTCAATCTGGCTTCCCCTGGTTTACCCCACCCAGTACCCCCAGGCTAAGCTTCTTAAGTCTCTCCTGACCTCACAGCCCTTGGCTCACATTTAAAGTTCTCCACGGTCAGCACCAACCTTTCTAATTTTATCACCCATAACTTTTCTCTATAAAAAATTGAGCTCTTTGTCAATCCTAATGGAAATTTCTTCACATTTCTGTAATTGAAATTGCGCTCCTCCTGCAAGAATTAAACCCATCACCCATCCGTCCCCTGTCATAATACCTTCAGCAGCTCTTCTAAGGTCTTTCCTCTGCAATGCACACTCTGTTTCCATTTCCTTGAAGTTGCCCGTTTTCCTTCAATTTCAAATTCTTTCGGGGTGAACCAAATTCCCTCCTCGTTCTGAATGCACTTCTCTGAGGATCCTGGAGGATAAAGACGGCCCATTCCTGGACCCAATCTCATGCTCTGTGAATTCACCCTAAACCTCCAAACTCCTAATTGCGGTCGTTCCGCCTGCCTGGGTCCAGAGAGACTCTCTGCAGGGAGGGAGGATAGCCGGGGAGCCTGGATTCCTCCTCTCTCAGGCTGAAGGAAGCCCTAAACCCTGTGGGAGCGGGAGAGGGTTTGCATTTTGTGCGACATCTGCATGCGGCAAGTATTGCCACTGGGTCCACGGTGGTGGAGTGGCCTGGCAGCCGGGTTCGCCACGACGCGGAAAAGCGAAAATTCCTTGTTAACAAGGCACTTCCTTCTCTGCAGCCTAGCTTGCAGGGTTTATCTCCTGGACAAGGAGACGCATGGGTATTTTCCTCTCTTCTAGTGGCTCGGGCGTTCCAAAGAGCAGAAGATCAGGAAACCCACCTCGTTTCAGTCTCTCCTTATATAAAATCCCTCTAGCTTCACCACAGGTCACGGGAAGTTTAGGAGAGTGAAAATCCACGGGGTCGTCTTCGGGTTTTTCTGGAAGCAGAAGGGAAAGTAGAAGAGTATAGTTTCGCTCAGTCTTCGTTTTCTCTCTTTCCGGCCTTCCCCTTGCCCCGAACTCTAAGGACAGTAATGGTAACAATAATCACGTAAATGGCATTGGGGAACAGCCTCTGGCTAACTGGCAGCACTTCCTCCATTTTGAGTGGCAGATTAGCCACGTGTACAGAGTAGTTTCTGATCAACAAAGCCATCACCACCAACACGGCATCAAACAGAATGTTCAGTGAAGCAGATAGGGCTCCTGTGGTGGGTTTTAATTCATAAGCTAATTGGCTACCACCCACCGCTCCTTTATTCCATAAGCAACCTGTTTATCCCTCTACCTGGATAGAAGTTGCCAGCCCAGAATATTTCCTGGTGCTCGGCTAGCTGGAAGAAAGGTCTTTGTTTATAATCTTATCACCTGATTTTACACCAAGGCGGGGTAAGTGAGGTGCTCAGCACCGAGAGATTAGTGTCCGTCTTCATTTTCTGCCGTCCTTTTACATTGTATTGCTTTTCTGTTTCTTCCTCCATGAGTCAAAAAAGAACCCCCCACCCCCACCCCACCCCCCCTCACCGCCAAGAACTCTAGCCTAATCTGCAAATTGCACATGGAGAGATTTGGCAACGGTGAAACAAGTTGAGCAGGGATGTGGGGGTATTGATTCAGGAGAGAAGCAGTTGGAAAAGAGTTTAAAATAAATACCAGCCACTCCTGCCGCTTTTTACCACAGCCTCACTGTGGGCGAATTCATTCCAGATAGACTGCAGGAGCCGTCTCTGGGGGCGAGGAGAAGGCGCTGCCCATGGCTTGTGTTGAGTTACACAGGATGTTACATGCAGAACGAGGCTAGGAGAACAGCCAGTCTAACTTTCTCCCTTGCTTCAAACACTTATTGCAAGAGCCAAAGGAAATGTATGAAAAGGCAAGAGCCTCCCCGGAAAAAGAAACAAGCGGCATCGATGCTAACGGTGAAGAAACCGTTAGTTACTTTGGAAGGATATGAACTAGAGGCAGACGAGAAAGCAGAGATCCCTGAGAAGTGACCGGATGGCTCCCTTGGACGGAACGCTGAAGGATGTCCAGTCTTGGAGGGGCAGGGGCTGGATAGGAGTGAGGGGGGTGGGAAGAACTTAGTTTCAAAAGCCAGCCAGCATTCTTGCGTGGACTGGCTGGCTCCACCACTGTCTCCGGACTCTGCCCACTTAAATAAATAGGGCCCAGGGGATGACAGCTCAGCCTCAGGAGCCAGACTGGCGGGGCTTACGATCTGGGCTGTGCAATTTCCTAGCAAGCGTATGTAAGTGCACATTATTGTCAAGGTTGAACGGAAGACCAGCCATGGCGGATTCCTAACTTGGGAGACAAGGCAGAGGCACAGGTAACTTTGGACCACTGCCGCAAACCCCGAGGGGGATTAGCAGGGCATCGGGGACCTTGCATAGTTGTCTGTCTCACGGAACTCATTCCCTATGGTAAGTATAGGTCCCAAAACAGATGTCCCAGACAGGCTCGCAAGCAGATGCAGGAGCAGTGGGCGGCACTGGGAGTTCTGGGCAGCAAGCCAGGGTGCAGGGTTGCGGGCACAGGCAGAACTCTCTCCTTTACCTGGTTCAGGCAGCTTCCCAAGTCAGCCAGGACCTTCTGTCCTGGGTAGCTCCAAAGCCACTACCCTGCGCCTAAGGAGGGACAGCTTTCTGATCTGTTCCGGTAATCTTGCATTTAGCTTCGTCTCACCTGCTCCAACAGGCTTTTTAAGGATGGAACCCTGAGGGGAAGGCCTCCTTGGCGCTCTCCCACATCTGTTAGATCACCATTCATAAGCGTGAGCAAACAATGAGGAGCCTGCTATGAAGGTAAGCAATTAATAAAGAGAGTTCCTGGAAATGGAAAGCAGGGTGCAGGAAACGAAAAGAAAGCCTAACAGAGGCAAGAAAAGCAGAATGGGAACAAACTTCATAGAGAGATGAACTTCAGGAATCCCTTCAGAACACGGGGTGAAGGCACGTGGTGAAAATCATGCATGGACAGACATGGCCTGGGGAGAGGTCTGGAGCTCCCTGATCTGGACGCGAAGGGTTCGTGGGGAGATGGGGTGGCTGGACGAAAAGCCATCATCAAGGCAACAGCAAAGGCCACACACACACACTGTGTAGTTTATTTTCACAACAACTTATAAAAAGGAAGGCAATGATGGTGATCCCCATTTTATAGATGGGGGACTCAGGCTCAAAGGTGGAGACGGAATTCCCGGACATCCCCACACGGTACAAGGCGGGACTGGCAGTGGAATCCAGACCGGCTGGACCCCCCCCCCCCCCAGTTCCTTTCATACTGTCAGAAATGCCTCAACAGGACTCCCTACTGTATGTCGGTAACAACACAGAGACAGCCGGCGTTAAATCAGAAGGCACGGCCAGGGCAGAAGTGCTAGGGTGACAGACAGAAGGAGCTGACGCTGACAGACAGCTGTCAGCATCTGCTTAGATTCGTGCTTCCTGCTCGTGTTTCCTAAAGACACCGGGGAGTTTTTTTTTTTTTTTTTTCAGTGCAAAGAACAAAAAACTTGCACTTAGAACCCCTAGGTTGATCTTTGTTCATGCAAGTCTTTTATGCTCTAATTGAATCCGTAAAGTGGGCTGAACAATACTTATATGACGGCTAAATGGCAAAACGCAGAACAAAGTGCTTTGCCAATTGTAAAGCGGGTACACTTCTGTTGTTATCAGGGCCTCTGCGTATGGTTGGGTGGGTTGTGCACTGAGCAAGGGTCCCACCTCTAAGGAGGGCTCTGATTCATACTCAGAGCTGGATACTTTCTTTATGCTTTATTTTTATTTTTTAACATTTATTCATTTTTGAGACAGAGAGAGACAGAGCATGAACGGGGCAGGGTCAGAGAGAGGGAGACACAGAATCCGAAACAGGCTCCAGGCTCTGAGCTGTCAGCACAGACCCCGACGCGGGGCTCGAACTCACGGACCGCGAGATCATGACCTGAGCCGAAGTCAGCCGCCCAACCGACTGAGCCACCCAGGCGCCCCAGAGCTGGATACTTTCTACGAGGACCTTCTCTCAGAGGGCAGCAAAGGACCTGGTTTTAGGAGTCAGCTCCGACAGATGTGGGTAAAGCGTATTGAGGAAAGGGCACTTTTTCTAATGCGCACAAGTGCATTCTCTGAGTACATGGAGTCTCTCGTATTGGTAGTCACACTTCATGAAGAAGAATAATGTATTGATTGCACAGTTATTTAAGTATACACTGTGTGAGGCACGGGAACACGGGGCACAGAGCAAAGAGCAAGACCGACCACTTACTGACCTCATCGGACTTTCACACGGTGAACAGGATGTACACAGAGTTAATTTTAGTCGTGACAAGGGCCGTGAAGAAAAAAAAAAAAAATGCTGCGTTCCACGAAGGCGGGTCAGGAAAACCTGCCCTTGCCTGCTGGGACAGAGAACGCTTAGTTCAAGGTGAGGCCTGGGGATGTGTAGCAAAGGAAAGAAGGAGAACAAGGGCGGTCAGCTTCGGGGAAGGGGTGGGTGAGGGGGGCACACCGAGGAAGCCAGGAAAGGAGGGCGAAGCATCCAGTGTCAAAGAGCTTATGCTTTGAGAAATCGGGCTGGTGGTGACCCTCGGGGTGTAGGTGGGGATTGGATCATGGGTGTGGGCTATGTTCTGTTTCTTAACCTAGGCGCTAAGTACATGTGGGCTTTGCCTTTGTGTTAATTCCTCAGGCTGTACATTTACGGTACGTGCCTCTTTCTTAAGCATCGCACCAGTGCTACTCAATGTGCCGGTGCGTGACAAGACAGGAGCTTGATCCAAAAGAAATAAGGCATCTCCGCCGAGGAGGTCCTGCTGGGAAAACGGGGTGCTCAGTGTCACGGTTGGTTTATAAGCTCTTTATTTTTGCAGACTTGCAACCAACAGACTTGTGGATGGCACCAGTCTGCGGACCCTACCTCAAGTAGCCCCTGTTCTACTTCAATGATAAATTCATGGCGGGGAGGAGGAATGCCAATGTCGCCAGAGCCTAAAGAGGGAAGGGAGAGTGAGAGGGGCAGTGCTGAAGAAATGTTACCAACGCAGAAGAGAAATGAATGCTCACAGACAAGGAGGAGGGGGAAGAGGAGGAGGAGGACGAAGATGGGAGGGAAAGAGGAGGAAGAGAGGACACAAACAATCGGCAGGTGGCCAGGGCACCAGTGATGTCTGGCGGCCAGTCCCTGTCTCTGGCTTACTTACCCTTTGGGGGAATATTTTTCTGACACCTTCTGGTTGAACTTGAACTGACATCGTTGTTCCTTTTCTTTTCTAAAAAAAAAATTAATGTCATTTATAATTGGAAACATAGATTTATATGCTTTCTATATCAACTATTTTCAAGTAATTTTTTCTGTCTTTCTACCACTTTGGAGAGACAAGATAGATGTGTCTTTAAAAAAAATTTTTTTTTTACATTTATTTATTTTTGAGAGACAGAGAGAGACAGAGCACAAGCGGGGGAGGGGCAGAGAGAGAAGGAGACACAGAATCTGAAGCAGGCTCTAGGCTCCGAGCCGTCAGCACAGAGCCCGACGCGGGGCTCGAACTCACAAACTGCAAAACCATGAATTGAGCCAAAGTCGGACGCTTAACCGACTGAGCCAGCCAGGCTCCCCTAGACGTGGGTCTTATGAAAAGAACATTGTAGCATTGATCATGGAGGAATAGCAAGTTCATGTTAATAGATAGGAAGGCTAAAAACATTACAGAAACCATGTTTTCATAAGGTGATATATATTAACATATAATAATCAATATAATAATGTGTACATATGTATTTAATACAAACACTAGAAGTAGATAAAGGATATAAACTTATAAATATCACATAGAAAGGACTTTTTAAGGAAGAAATATAGGGCATAAAACAATGGTTCTCAAGGCTGGTTGATTTGGTCCCCCAGGGGATATTTGACAATGTTGGGAAATCTTTTTGTTTCTCATGACTGGGAGGAAGACACTACTGGCATCTAATGACTGGGATGTTGCCCAGTATCTCGTGAGGCACAGGACAGCACTCATGACAAAGAATTATTCAGTCCCAAATGCTAGTAAGTGTCAAGGTCGAGAAACTGGCATAAACCATCTTGGAAAAGACAAACTGATTTGTCTAAACAAATTTACAAAAAAATTCTCCACAACCAAAAATTTCTCAAGTGAGTTACAAAATAAAAACAAAAGCAGAAACATTTCAATGAGATAACAAACAGAAGATTTCCATAATTGATCAAACGAAAAGATGAATAGTCCTATACGAAAATGGGCAAATATGAACAAGTGAACCTCAAAGGAAAAAACTTCTAATAAAAAATTATTTAACAAACAGCTATCTTAGTAGGAAGAGGCTAGGTGATGTTATGATAAATTATGACTCTCCCAAATTTCAGTGGTTAATTATAGGTATCAGCAAATAATAGCATGAAGACCAAATAAGTCCAATGCTTGTGTTTGTAAATAAAGATTTATTGGAACACAGACAGGTGCATTTGTTTACATATTTGTCTCTGGCTGCTTTCATACTACAATGGCAGTGTTGAATAGTTGCAATAGAGATTGTAGGGCCAGCAAAGCTCTCATCTGGCCCCTTTTAGAAAAAGTTTGCCAAGTGTTGGTTTAAAACAACCCAGTTTTACTTCTCCCTTGTGCTACTCATTCATCACAAGTTAGATGAGGTTCCATGTTATTGACACACACGGATCCTGGGGACAAAGCAACTTGTGTCTAGAACATTGTTGGTCCCATGGCAGAAATAAAGATGATACACAGGCTCTTAAAGCTTTGGCTTTGAAGCGACCCTCACACTTCTGTCTACATTTCTTTGGCCAAGTCAAGTGACATGGCCATTCTGGAGTCCACAGGGCAAGAGTGTATAACCTTCCGAGATATCAGTGAGTAGTAATACAATCTACCACAGCATATTTAACCACATGCATGGTGCAAAGAAATCCAAAGGAAAACATGGGTGGAATATCATTCTTTGCTTTTAATCTGTCAACACAGAAGACTCTTAATTGTTTCTAGTTTTGGTGAAGGTGTAGGGAAAATGGCATCTGTATGATGTTAATGGGAGTCTAAACTGGCAATAATTTGATCAGTATGTGCTAATTTTATTTTATTTTATTTTATTTTATTTTATTTTAAATTTATTTATTTATTTTGGGAGAGAGAGAGGCGGAGAGAGAGAGAGAGGGAGGGGCAGAGAGAGAGGAAGAGAGAGAATCCCAAGAAGATCCTGTCACACTGACAGCACAGAGCCTGACATGGGGCTCAAACCCACGAACTGTGAGATCATGACCTAACCTGAAACCAAGAGTCCAACACTTAACCGAACTGAACCATCCAGGTGCCCTGGTATGTACTAATCTTAAACATGTAGACTCTTTGACTAAGCCACTTCACTTCCATAAAGAAGCCATTAAGAAACACTCCTGGGAGTGTGTGCACTTTGAGGAGTGGTGCCACTTTTTGTATGGGGGCAGCTTGAATCAAGACGGGAGCCCCCAGACTCAGCGGAGTTGTGGTGGCTCTACTAATGGAAATGTAAACAGTAGACACTGGGAAGTGGTCACGTGAGTCCATGTAGAGGTGACCTGTGTGCTGGGAGCACGCTGGCTTCTACCCACAACCACTCCCAGCCCAGAAGTTCCTTGCCGTCTTGTCTGCACCGCTCCCTTCTTCTACCGTTTCCTTCACACCTCCACCCAACCCCATGTCCGTCCCGAGAAAGACCCTCTCACATGGAGCATTTATAGCAGATTCGGTAGCCAGCCTTACCCTGTGGTCCAGAGGTTTGTGTACATCCAGTCCTTGCCTTTTGGGCCCTTGTTATGACCTCTGAGTTGCTGGTTGAATCGTCCTTCCTTTCAGTTGCCTGATCCATCAGTTGGAGCTTTTTTTGGATTGTGTGTTCAGGTGAGGCTCTCCCTGGGCCAAATAGTGATTTGTGAATAGTTTTCACTGGGGTGCCCTCCAGTGAAGGCACTGGGGTGCCCTTTCACTGGAAAGCTCCTCCTCCCCCTCCCATGCCCCCAGCCCCTTTGAGATCTCTGTACCCCTGTACCTCATTTTTCTCCTGCTAGTTCTGCAATTGTATCTTTCTTGTGCGCACCTTTCTTTCTCCCTTAGACTCACCATCTGCTCTCAGCCCTGTGCAACCTGTTGAAATTAATCAGACTCCCAGAGCAGAGGGCTTTCTTTCCTGGGCCATGTCTGACACCTTCTTCCTGGAGGTGCCCACATCCGAGTAAAAGATGGCCAGGTAGCCTGTTTTGGCACACAAGGAGTGCTATAACGTACTTCTCCAGATTCCCCAGGACCTATTTGTGGATCAGGAGGGATCCAAGTTTCCCCAGGTGCCTCCGGTGGGAAAAGTGCAAGGTATCAAAGAATCGAGGGGCTGCGTGGTAGAGTGTGAGGCTAGGACAGAGAGGATTTACAATGACGATGACAGAAGGAAGGGTCTAAGGGTTAGGGTTCTCTTTCCCACGGATCTGGATACTTTTATTTTGCCGAGAACTCACATTTATATCTTTGGATCTGATTTTTTTTATTGAGTGCCAGATTTGCATATTGTGGGGGAATTTTTTTTCTATTTTTCTATTGAATATAATTTATTGTTAATTTGGTTTCCATACAACACCCAGTGTTCATCCCGATAAGTGCCGTCCTCAATGCCCATCACCCACTTTCCCCTCTCCCTATTGTGGGGGAAATTAAGCTCCCTTGATTTCTCAGTACTTCTGTGAAAAGCCCTAGACTCCTGAGGCATGAGAATGTATACAGAATTAAGACAGGGAATGCTTGCTTTCACATCCCTAGAAATATTTTGCTTTTCATACACCATGAGAATGAGATCTGTAGCTGGTAAACTGCTGTTTGATCCAAAAGGATAATAAGTCTTCTCCTCTCCTGAGATTGCCAAATGCCTACAGCAGGGCTAGCTTCCTAAGCTAAGTCCCAAAGTACCAGGATTACTGGAGCCCTCTCTCCATTGGTATTTACACATCAAAAGGGATGAAGCCCAGAATGTGGATCATCTTTAACAAAGGCTGAAGACACTTGGGGTTTCTCTGCCTCTTAGAGGCATTTCAATTCCAAAAGATGAGGGTGAGGACAGAGGATCAGTTTAATCTTATCTCAAAGCAGCCAAGTTTTTTTCTTGTTTGTTTGTATTTTGTTTTTCCCTCCTTTCAGGAGAGGAGGAAGATGGCTTCCTTGTCCTGTCTATAAACAGAAAACCCATCATTCTTTATCCTTTGTCTATGGGATATCATCTGCCTCTCAGAAGGATTCCAGCAGCTCTCTTCTCACTGCCTGTGGGTCTGCATTTGGGGGTAGATAATGCAGTGTGACTCTGGATGTTGAGCTGGTTGTGATGTCAATGAGGAATCTTTCCCCTGATCCAGGTGCCCGGGGTTCCTGCATGGTCATATACACAAAGAACGGCCCTATGCAAGTGGGGTACCATCTCAGACCCTTCACAGTTTTGGACAAAGCATGGAGCTAGAGCATAGACAGCTAGCACAAATCTTGAGGTGAAAGGTCAAAAATGGAAAATTATAAGATTTCCTCCCAAATTATTTGCATCTCCCCTTAGCAATGTACACCACCATTCACCCAGCCATTCAAGCCAGAAACTGAAGAGGAAGCCTTGGTTTCTCTCTCCTCCCCAGCTCCTAATTTTTCAAGTTCTATCAACTCTCTTTCCAAGCTGTTCTTGAACTGGCCCTTATCTCCACTGCCAGATCTGAATGCAGAGTTCTGTCAACCTGCATGGCGTCCTCCCCTTTCCAAGGGTTGTCCCGCCTCCATTCTCTTCTGTTTCCAATTCATCCTTTACACTGAACCAAAACTGTTCTTGTCAAATGCAAAATGGGATCATGTCACTTCACTGATCGGATCTCTTCGATGGTTCCCCATTTCGTTTAGAATGAAATTCAACTTCCCACACCTTAACCTACAAGCACGAGCTGTCTGCTGCCTCCCACCTCTTCTTGTTCTCTCATCTTACCTTTTGAGAGGCTTTTTTTCTGGCGTCTCTTCTTTGGAGTTGACCAGATACTTCTTTTTCTTTTCTTGCCTAAAGAGAAAGGGTACAGATGATCTTCTCCTGGCTACAAACATAGATCTGCCAACCTCAAAGGTCAACAATTTTCAGCGCTCACTTTTGGTCTTCAAACCATAGTGGCGAGCAGGGCATTGGTGGCCTTACGTGATGCTGCCTCATGGAGTAATGATGGAGAAGATTCTAAAGTGGCAGAGGAGAGAGAGAGACATGAAGAGATTGGGACAATGAGTTTAGGTAGCTCGTTTCTAGCTATGAAATGGAAGAGTGAGCTATGGAAGCCGGTGAAGTGAGCTGAGGATCAAGAGGAAGCTCCTTTGATGAGCTGTGATAGGCTTGGGCAGTGACTGAATGCAGATCCCGTGACAGGGAGATGCTGAATTCTCAGAGGAGAGAGGGGTCATGGACACGGTCAGGTGAGGCAGAAGGATTGCCTTAGAGAGAAAGAGGGAAGTGGAGAGGAGGGGGCAAACGCAGGCTGGTAGCAGGAAGTGAGGGTATTCCCATCCTATACCTTTTGGTGTAGTAAGAGGAAAAGTAGTCTGTTAAGAAAAGGAGGCAGGAGGGGCGCCTGGGTGGCTCAGTCGGTTAAGCGGCCGACCTCGGCTCAGGTCATGATCTCACGGTCCGTGAGCTCGAGCCCCGCGTCGGGCTCTGTGCTGACCACTCAGAGCCTGGAGCCTGTTTCAGATTCTGTGTCTCCCTCTCTCTGACCCTCCCCCGTTCATGCTCTGTCTCTCTCTGTCTCAAAAATAAACGTTAACAAAATAAAATAAAATAAAGATTTTAAAAAAAGAAGAAAAGGAGGTGGTGAGGGGGGGCCAGCAGTTTGAAAAAAAAAAAAAAAAAGCTCAGGGTTGAAAAGGATCATTGCAGGAAGTGAAATTGTCAGGCAGTGTAGAAGGATCATTTACCCTGGGCTCGTGAAGGCACAACACATGAGCTCTGCCCTGCTGCGTGGTTTTCCCCATAGTGAAGTGCCTGCCTTCATACCCAGTGTGCAGAAAGCAGATAATGGGTCCCTCCAAGACCCGCCAGAGGGTTCTAGGAAAAGGCAGAGTGGCAAGGTTGGTTAAGATACCAGCAATAAGTTACTGAAGCAATGGATCGTGGCCTCTAACCTGGTATGAAGGGGCATGAAGAGAGGCATATGATGAACCAGAAAAGGGAAAAGCCAATGGACTGGTCATCCAAGTGAGGTTGAAGAACAGCTCCAGAGGGAACAAGTTGTAAGGGAGAAATCAGGCAGGGATACTTTTGAGTTAATTGTTTAAGATTGGGCTGGAGAGGAGAGTTTGGAGGTTGAACAATAGCTGCAGAAGGAGCAGACTTCAAGGATTAGATGTCAAAAAAAAAAAAAAAAAAGAATTCTGAAATTAATTATTGGGAGGTGGAGCCAGGCTTCAACGATGAGAGGACCCATGGTTGTCTCTGGGTCCAGGAGGCCAAGAATGGGTGCAGAAAAAAGTCACTGGAAAAGAGCAGAGGAAAGTTCTGAGGGACCAGAGTATTGGATGGGTCTCTTGGATGGGACACCTTCAAGGTGTCCAGGATGATAGCAGCACTTGAACTGACAGAAAAATTCTAAGTTAGCCTTAGAGGTCTGCTGGGGAAATAGGGACAAGTTAAGGACGACCGTGATTAAGACAGAGGGAGTTATTTCATTCACATGGAGGGCAGAGGAGCAAAGGGCTAGTCAGGGGCAGTATGTAGCAAGCAGTGGGCATCCACCCTGTCTCCCACCACGAGGTGAGCAAGAGCAGATAATAGGCAGCCTTGTCTTACGAGAAAGCGGTGCCCTCTCGGGGAACCAACTTTCAGTTAAAGAGGAGGTGTGACAGACCCTCCAAGAAGTTGTGGGTAAAGGAGACCTTGATTGTTTCAGAGCAGGCGATTGCAATGGATACGTATTTCAATGGCCCCCAGTGCCGTCTGGTTTCCCTACGCTCTTAGTGAAGGCCTTCAAGGAAGATGCAGTGAATGGGAGCTACAGAAACAAACTAATGAGCATCATGACTCCAATCACATGGTGGGTGCTTCTGACAAAAGACGATCAGAAAAACAGAAAGTCCCTCCACAGTCATGCTCCTGGGGTCCACAGGAGAACGGTAACCCTCCCTTACCTTTCTTGTTGGGAGGTGTGATGGATGCCCCCTGGAACTCTTTGGGGTCATTTGGTTCAGGAGAGATATCTCTTATCTCTATCAAAGGAAACAGAATTCGATTCAGAGCTTGGAACAGGCAGAAGGAAAAGTCTGCCCCGCCTTGAATTGATCGGTTTGTGGTTACACTTACCAGTGTGGCTATACCAGTGATATCCCCGCCCTCAGAGGAGGGCTCAGTTTGACCTGTTTTGAGGGACTCCCCTTATTCGACGGAAGAGAAGAATAAGGGGCCCTCAGTAACCCTCATGCAGGGGATAAGGCTGCGAGCATTGAGGGTGCTGATCTTGAATTCTGGTCAAGGTCACTGGCTTCAGTGAAGGGGAATGTCTTTGCCATATAAAAAATACATGCTAGTCCTTAAAGATTTGTGAATGGATATTTTTGAACCTCTCTCCTTGTCATTACTTCACCTTGAAAAATAGTGAAGGAGGCTAAGTGCCTTCTATATTTCTGTGTACAAGAAAGCAGGAGCTAGTCTCTATTTGCCAGCACCTGTTAATAGTAAATAAATGTGAAGTTCTTGTTTTTGCTGCACTAAGCAGACCGCAGGGTTTGAAGCCATAACAAATCTCAAGTAAGACTGCCACCTTCTTCTTGTTTACACGGTTCAATGAGATCTGTCTCAAATTTTGGGCTCCTTAGGATAGGCATCTGAGGCAGATGGCAAGCAGTCATTAGACATTCTAAATAGTTTGTTGACTTTCAAATTATTTTGATCAACTCTTAAAAATCTAAACAATATAGAAATGATGAGGGTTGAAGGTGAACGTTCTCCACAGTCAGGATGAGGGCTCAGAAAAAGAACCGTCCGCATCTGGGCCATCTGTGTCAGGGCCACACAATGTCTTTGAGCACCTCAGAGTGTGGCTGACTCACACAGTCCTGCTCTGGCTCAGTCCCCTGTCCTGTCCCCAGGGGTCCTGCCACAGCCCTCACGCAGATGAATTTTCTCCCTTAGTAAACCTTCTAGTGATGTTTGTAGTCTAGGTCCTGTGGGTGCTACTGGGCTCGCTCATCTATGGTGCCCCTCCTCCAAGTCTACCTTTTCCAGACTCATCTCCCTTGTCTTCCCCAGGATCTCCTGCCCATCCAAGCTCCTGAGGGCTGGGTGTGCAGCTGGAAGCTGGGCCAAGATGGTGGTCAAGAGCGGCAAGGAGAGCCCTGTCTCGAGAATGATCCAGATGACCTCTCCTCTTGGTAGACATGAAAAGTAAGGCAAGCTATAGTTGTCCGCATCAACATTTCCTGGCACGGGACCTGAGGGAGGGTGGGGCATCTCTTGAGCATTTCCTTATCTTTTATTTGGGGCCTCGGGTTGTTACCGCACACTGAGCAGAGAAAGAAGATGAATTTCAGATCCCAGGACCAGCAAACAGGGACCAGAGGGAGGAGGAAAAAAAACAGTCTATTCCAACCAGTAAATGTGGCGGGGCCAACGGAACACCAATGCCCAGTAAGGGTGGGAAAGAGGGGGGAGTCAACAATCAACTAGCTACTTACTAATTTGTTTTCTGTTTTATTATTAAAAAAAATTTTAATTCTCGTGTAGTTAGCATATGTTAGTTTCAGGTGTATCATATAGTGACTCACTACCTACGAATTGAATAATTTAATTACGGCTTTCTTTCGCTCATCTAGCAGATGGAGTCTTCCATTGCTATTGGCTTCATGTTTATGTTAACCTTATTTGGATGTTAGGTGTTAGGTGTTAGAGGAGTGAAGGAAACATTTGAACCAAATAGAGCCCTTTATTCTCAGTATTGGAGAACTCAGAATCCACAATACCATTTTTGACAACACCCGATAGTACTCCATGGTTATATTTAATGTTATCAGAGTCCTTCATGATGATGGCTGGGGAGATTAGAAACAATTTTGGAAGCTAAATCAGGTCCGTCAGGTCTTTAAATGTTTTATCATCTTTTCCAATAATTTCAATAACATTACTCTTAGAATCCAAACCATATAAAAATGGACGTGGTTGAAACTGAAAGGCCCCTGTAATCAGAGCCTGAGCAATTGAGTAAGGGTCACAGAGGGGTGTACTGCACAAGTTACATGTCATTTAAGAACACTTATCGGGTGGGCATCACAGCATCAGACTGGTCATGGAGGCATCCCTGACAAGGATTCCAGTGCTGAGTTGGAGCATCAGTCCCTTGTTTTCTTTTTCTTTTGTCACACTCTGTTCTTTTTCCCTGGGCTCCTGCCACAAGTCCCTGGGTCGACAGGTGCATGATTGCCCCTCACGCCCACCTCGAATTGAACTAAGTCAGTCCCAAGCAACATTACCTTGCACAGAGGCAGGCGGGGTGCCAGGTCCCTCTTGTGAGTCTTCTTCAGCATTTATGCAGGATGTTAAGTTGTCATCGGTCATTGAAGAGAGAAAGAATAATCATTACAGGGCATGGGGACAGAGTGTCAGGGAGGAGATTAAAAACACCCAGGCCAGAAGCATCAGGGCCCAAGGGCAGAGGGTGGGGCTGTTCCAAGGGTGGGAAGCAGGTGTTCAGGCTCCTGACTTTACCCAGGCCCCTGGAAGTGCGGGGAAGGGCTGTGTGTGGCAGGTGGGCACGTGGGATAGACCAGGTTAACAAAAGGGTGAGACCTTGGAGTCCTAGACACGACTGCAGGTACCCTAGGCTGGGGATACACAGGTGTTGGACAAGGTCTGCTTCTCACCTGGAGTGATCCTTCCTTCCTGGGTGGCTCTGGGGAGGGCCACGGCAGGGCCAGGAGGGCTGGATGATTCAGTCCGGATCTCAGTGCTGTGCTGGGTGGATGCGCTGGGCTCACTGACACTGGGCTCATGGGGCAAGAGGCTCTGTGATCGGTGTTGGGGTGGGGGCAACCACAGCAGGGTCTGGAGGGAGCTCCCTTCAGCTGAGTTGGCTGGAACTTCAAGGAGGGTAGGCCCGGCTCTATTCCATCCTCCGTAGGAAATGACAACTGGGATTGGTGAAGGAGCACACATCAACACCCCGGGGACTCTGAATTATTTGGGGGAAGGGAGGGGCGCCTGGGTGGCTCAGTAGGTTGAGCTTCTGATTTCGGCTCAGGTCATGATCTCGCGGTTTTGTGAGTTCGAGCCCTTCATCGGGCTCTCTGTTGTCAGCACAGAGCCTGTTTTGGATACTCTGTCCATCCCCCCCCCCCCCCCCCCCCCTGCCCCCTCCCCGCCCCAGCCCCCCCCCCCAAAAAAAAAAAAAAAAAAAAAAAGAACATTAAAAA